TGAGGCGCTATTCCTTCTCCGTCCGTCAGAAAAGGGGATCACCAAAACGAAAATGGGACGGTTGTGCCATGTAACCCCAAAACGAAAATGAGGTCAACTCTCACAGGCGAGCCCGGTTTGAGAAGCCGCACTTCTTTCCGGCCCTGAGATGATGTGGGGCGCTGGGCTCAGGTACTTCAACCCAACTGCCCTGAGATGATGTGCAAAAACTGATCTGCAAGTGTGACGATAGGATCCCTAAGTCAAGGACCTTTATCATGTTGAGCTCCTTCAACCCCCCCCCCCCCCGAGTTCGCGTCATAAAATGGGCAGAATGGATGCCGCCGAGCTGCGCCGGCGACGCCGGCCCCACCTTTGCGGGCGACGCCTTTCCGGAGGCGATGGAAACGCCTCCGGGCGACGCTCCGGCGAAGGCCTGGGTCCTCGGCATGCGGAGCTGTCTGAAAAAAGGATCTGCGCCCTACATGAGTGGCCTCCTTTTGGGGGGGACCCAAGGGTGTTTGTTTCTCTTGGTTTCCCTTGAAATCCACCAAACAAGGAATACCTCAAGGGATACCACGAACAAAGACAAACCGCAAACGACTTGCAATGTTGAGCCCAGAGGAATCTGGTAGGATGATTTTTCGTGGTTGTTTCCCTAAAAGAGAAGGATCCCTCGAACATGTGGAATTGCACTAACTTTTAAATGGGGGAGTCCTTTCGTTGGATGTTGATTTTGAGGCCCTCCCCCGCTCCAAAAAGCAGTCGAGAAGGACAGAAGGAGAACCGCCACAGGCCTGGCTCTATCCAAGGCTCGATGACGGCGTTGCTGCTGGACTGGCCTTTGCGGGACCTGCACAAGCGAAACCTCCCAATGCCATGGGAAAACATGTCATGGCCAACAAACTTGGTTGCTGTTGACCCCATCTGCACAAAAAGATACTTGTTTTTTTGTGGGTTTAATGGAAAACCCTTGATTTCCCAAAAAGTTAAAGTCTAAAGATCCAACCCAATATAGCAGTTGATAATACCCAGTTGCCCGGTGAACGACAAAAGAGGGATCCCCTTCTGACTCTTTCAGTGGTAAAGACACCAAATCAAAGGGAAAAAGGATGGCGCTGAAAACTGGGAATAAGCCCGAACTGCCCTGATTTTCCCAACGAGTCTCCAATTCAAACTCATACCTACGATCATGCTACCCTCTGCAAGTTCCTCATGCACACCAGCTGAGTCTTCCAACACTCCCGTCAACTCCGGCAGCTAACAGCTTCTCCCTCTTCAAGCCACCTTGCCTGCGGGGTAAAGTGACAAACCGGGCAAAACCGCCAAGGCCAACGGAAACACAGGCGTGCTGCTCACTCCACAGATCCCGCCTGTCGGCGAGACCTTGGGCTGAGATGATGTTTTTCGCATCAAGCTCACTGGCGCGCGCGCGTGTGCGTGTGGTAAGTGTTGTCAACGTAGGGGGACCCACAACCATCCTCTTGGCTTCCATACCAAGCTGAACAGGGCAGTCTCAAAACAACATGCACCCGCCACCCGCTAGCAGAAATGGCTTCGCATCAGCCCTTCCAGCTGCTTGCTCAGACGCCAAGCGCTGCGCATTGCTGTTTCGGACTAAACCCAAGCTCTCTTCATGTTCAGCGCGTCGGCACAATCAAATTCGGCTTTTGGAGGTCCAACACCTTCCAAAGTGAGCCTCTTTTCACATCCCATTGATAGCACCTGGCTAGATGAACTTGCACTGACTTGCCCAGATCAGTTTGAAATATGAGGCATCATGTTGACCCCGGACGAAGGTTCTCTCTAAGTGGCGCCCCCTATATCCCCCGATGGTTCTGATGTTCTGGGCCGAAATTCGCAGGCGACCCGAGGCAGCAGCCGACCCTCTCGGCGACCGAGGTGTGCCCGGCGAGCTCTTTCCCGGGCTCGGAAACTGCGCTGCGGGAATTTGGAGGTGCGATAGGCAGGGACTGAGCGAGCTTCCGGGTGTTGGGAATGGTCATAACATCGCCAAAAGGGAAGAAAGGAACCTCCGCGCATTAAATTGGAGAGCCTTGAGCTAATTGCTGCATTCCCGATGCTATTGGCCCCTGCCTTGATCTTCTGGGCTGTAGCCACGCCGAGCAACGGGTTGCTGGTCGCCTTGGCTTCTCCAAACAAAAGCAGGAGAGATCCCCCGACTGAGTGGCAAAACTCCTGAAACATCTCGAAACCCTCACCAAATCTGCCACTTTTCATCATGAACATGTCCCCTGAATTTCTCTATCTTTCCAGCGCGCCGACAAACCTCGGAGCGGCCGGAAAGACGAATCCCGGCCTTGGGAACTGGCTTTGGCCTTGCAAAGGGAGGGGGCGGCAAGGGGTGGCAACGCTCCCAGTTGCCACTGCTGGGTTCGCCTGAGGGAGGGTACCCTCCCACCCTTTTCACGTGGAACCTGACGGAGGGTTCCTTTGACCGGAAAATGGCCCAGAACTCCCCCCCCCCCTCCCAAAACGTCAGGTTCTTCACAAACTTGCAAGGTGAAGGCAGCTCTCTGCCAGCCTGGGCGTGCCAAAGACTTCACCGGCGGCATCTTGACGTCCGGACCTCAAATCAACTGATCAAGGGCTCCCTACATTTCCCCTGTAAACAATACCCTACTAAAACAAAACTCAGCCACAAGTTGTTCTGATTAACCTGCCAAAAACAAGAAGTATTGGATCAAAGACTGACTCAAAGCCAGCCTTAGGCCAGGAAGGCCCGTCTGGGCATCCGCGGGTCTGCGCCATTGGTGACTTCTTCAATGGTGTGTTCAACGCACTGAAAGTCTGAAGTACCACGAACAAACTCTCAGTGCTCCCCTCCTGGGCGGGGAAGAACATGCCAAATCGTGAAATGGCACTCTTGCCGGGGAGGCCCAACCAAATTTCGGCAAAGCAACCTATCCTAAACTGCGAAAACAAACATGCATCATAGCATGTAGCGTTCTCTGCTCTCCAAAACGCCGTGATACGGCTTGGCTAAGGAAATATCAAGGCCGCCATTTGGCCCACCCTTCTCTGGGCCTCCCTGCAGGCGTCGCAGGTTGTCTGCTGAGACCTTGAGGTCCGGCCTAGGCTTCATGCCGACCGCCTACCACGCTTTCAAGGCTCAGGCTTCGAGAATGTGCTTTGGTATGGCCTGAGAACCCTGGCTGGTCGCGAGCTGTCAAACGCCCCGATTTCCAAGTGGGCTTTCTGGGGTTCCAAGCTTCTGAGATGTCACTGTTCAAGGGGCCGATTTTGGGCTGTTTGAACTTGACTGTCAGGCATGTCTTAGGTGCAAAAGTAGCCTAGTATGCCCAAGTGAAGGGCTGAAGCCGGTACTGTATCGACCCATGAGCATGGCTGAGTGGTTGGGCCCAGTGATCCAGCTTGACGCCCCAGCAGTCAGAGGACGTTCGTTTGTTTGTCTGTCTGTGTGTGTCTCGCTCTCGCTCTCTCTCCCCCTCTCTTTCTCTCTTTCTCTCTTTCTCTTTCTCTCTTTCTCTCTCTCTCTCTCTCTCTCTCTCTCTCTCTCTCTGGCAATGCCGGTCCAGCCCTCCCGACAACTGAACAGCAAAACTGGAGCCAGAATTCGCGAAACCAGTCATGCGTGTTTGTTTTGGTGTGCACGTGCACCGATGCATTTCCACAAATGCATAGACCTTTGACGCTTCTGGCTTTCTCCTTATGAGCCATCCCCACCCCCCCCACACCCCCACCCGATTCCCGAGCGCCCGGCCGAAGGTCTCGCTCGGCACGGATGCTTTCAGCCTGGGTGTGGCAGGGGTAGTCTGGATCGCTGGCAAAATGTGTTTGATGTGTGGATTGAAGGACTTGTTACTTCTGATGTTGACATCCCCACCAACATGCAACCTCAAAAATCCCCCTTGAACATGTTGTTCCTTTTTAAGGGTCTTGTCAGATTCCTTAGTGGTCGGGGGAATACCTTTTCCCTCAACCATCCGAGCTGAAACTTTCTGCGCGTTACTCAGGAATCTCATCACGGGATCCTTCTCCATCCTCAGATCTGGATGAAGTATGTCCCTTCTGACCCCCTGGCACAGAAGTCTTCCTGCATGCTGCAGGGATTTTTGGAGGAATTACCGCACCTGCAAGGAGATGGGGTGCATCAAACATAGCTCCGGCTGCTGCTTACCCCGCGGTCGCTTCACCAATTTCTACGGCTCGGTCTCGGGCGCCAGGGATTGCGGGCGCCTCCCGAAACGCGAGGCGGTGAGATGGCGCCCGTCCACTTTTTGCGGTTAAGGGGACGGTGAAACCAAAATGACGGAATCGAGCTGTCTACTTTGACCCAAGTCTAGTCACAAGTCGCGGCCTTTACAAAGAGAATTCCCCATGATCATTGTGACAGCTCATCCTGCTACTCGAAGAACCTAAAATAAAGTGGGGTGGGCAGAAAAAAAAACAGGTTTTGATAGGTTTTGCACCGGCTACTCGTCGAAAACCAGGTTTTCGGTTGAAGAACTTGCCCGTACAAAAACCGTGCAAAGCCCATATAAAAGCAGCGCACAACCCGTATTTCCGTATGCCTTTTGAAACCCAGGTTTCTTCTCTGAAAACCAGGTTATGTTTCCGAACCCGCTTTGTAGGATTTTGGAGTAGCAGGACTCTGGCGCATTGACCCGGTAATCAAATACGAACGGTCACATATCCATTGTTAGACCATTGTTGCAAGGTAGCGATTGGCAAAGCGAGACACGGGCCCCTTATGACTTGCCGCGAAAGGTTCGGGGTAGACTAATCGGGACTCAAAATGAAACCACAATGCTCTCCTTTGACTGCTGCGTCCTCACGTGGTTGCCAAAGTTTGTGTCCGCTTTGCTTGAAGCTTCGAACAAAATAAATGGACAAGGTGAACTGAAGGGACACATCATACATGCAAACATCATTCAATTGTCCTGACTCCCTCATTGTGATCAATCCACTATATACCGATATACCCGACTCATGTTGTCAGCCCTCACAGCGTTTTTTTTTTTTTACTGCCTCTTCAGCTACCGTGGCGGTTGCATCGGCGCGGGAAGGCGTTTCCAGCTTCGTCCTGGCGTGCAAGCCGTTTGTTTGCCAAAAAAAAACAATTACATTGCCCCCTGGTTGGTGGTTTGGTTTGGTGGTTTGGACCTTAGGGGGCACCTTCCCCATTTGGTTTCAGAAGGTACCGGCTCAAACCTCAAAGCCACATCAATGGGTACCTCACAGGTTGCAGTCAGTCAACTGGTCCAATGTGAGAACACTGAGCCGAATGCACAAGCATTGAGTTAGACAGGAGCTTCTCCAAAAGCGCAATGATCTTCCCAAGGGTTCCAGTCAGCTGGAGACTCGTGTAGTCCTTTCGATTCATACATGTCATGTATGAAACCATGACCTTCACAGGTTCCACTATGCCCGAAGCCGGTTGGAACTTTTTGCAGGCCCCACTTACACTTCGAAAGAGACCTGACAATGGCATTTGATTCGTTGAGGTCCTGGCTCTTTTCATGAGACATTTGGTCCTTTTCCGAGACCACCTCGCCGAGATCCCCTCCTGCGGCTGCCCCTCTGCAGGAAGCTCTGCCGCGTCCACTGGGGGTTTCCTCGCGGGGGCAACCCCCAGGCGCTTTCGGAAACTCATTTGCGAAGCTCAGACCCAAATATTATTCGTGTGTCTCAAAAGAGGGGAACCTCCACAGCTGGCTGAAGGGACTAAAACTTGGATTCTTAAAATGTCCCCTTTCATTGCAACAGAGATAACCATCAAAGTGACCTCTCCCCAAGAATTTCCAAGTTACTGGTGAAGTCATCCCTCTGATTCTTGATCAACTGTAGCACGTGGCATGCTCCTCCGGATGTGTCCAGGACCTCCTCCTTGGCCGCCAGCGGACCAGTGTTGGAGGGGAGGGGTAGCACTCACAAGGTGCAGCTGTGGACAGTACTAGTTACATCCACAACCTGCGTTAGAAGGCCTTTCTGGGGCTCCTCACAATCAGTTACAGAAGCCTGTCTGGATCAGAGCCAGTCTTCAGCGGCTGTTTCTCGGCGTTTTGACTGTCGAATCATTTTCCAGATGCCGAGGGTGAGCGCCATCTTTCGAGCATCAGCCCTGCGGCACCGGTAAAACCGTTAGGAAGGCCTCAGGTTGCCCTGTGCTCTATGGCTTTCCCCATTCCGGGGCGGGCGGTTTCCGAAGGCCGACACCTGAAATTGACAAAGCTTCCTTGAAAGCGTGCGAAAGTCGTTGGCTTCTGCACTTGCTGGTCGTCTTTTTCTAGGGTATCTTTGAATGCACGCAATTCGCTAGGTCCTTAGGTGGGTGTGCCAAGCAAATGAATGCATCTTTCAAGGGAGCCATTCACGGCGCAGAATTCGAAGGCTGGACCTCCTCGGTGATAGACTCGTACCTGGGCAGAGGCCACGGCCCAAAAAGGCCGTAATTGCTGGTGATAAGCGGGGAATGTGCGAAGGAACCCAGGGGGCCCCTTAAAGGAGGTGCGATAAGTGGGGAATGTGCGCATGAACCCAGGTGTTCCCGAAAAAGGACACCACCAGATGGATAGTTTATAAGGCTCATTCCAGCTCATTCCCCGGATCTCTCGCACCAAGTTAAACTGGAGGTTGCCCTTGACCAATGGCCGTCGGGCTTTGGTCACTGGAGGCAACCAGGACATCCCAAGCAAACCTCAGCCCAGGCGCAGGAGGAGACGCGGCCTTGGCTGGGGGTCAGGTGGCCATCGCTTCCCCATGTGAAACATGTGTCTGACTGCTCCAGCCTATACTCACTTGGCTAGTGACCAGCCCAAAAAGAAGTGTACACTTTTTGGGCCACCACTAAAATAGTCAGAAAGCCACAGAGAAAAAAAGTGTAAAGTGTGTCCACTGGCTGGGTGAGTATAGGAAGACACATTGTCCCACATCCAATTGCGGTCAACTTGGTTGCCATTCAAGTTTCACCCCGAAAGCGCCAAAATGAGTCGTTCTCAGGCCGAGCTTCGTCAAGTAGTGCTCTTCGCACATCTGCGGCACGTCCTTAGAGCACACTACCTCTGGATTAATTTGGCCAGGTTTCGGCATGGGCCTTTGAAGTACCAATGCAACCCTAGCAATTGCAGCCAAGTGCTGCCTGAGTTCTTTTCCATAGCGCTACTCTCTAAGAGGGTTCTGGCCTTGTTGCAAAGTGGATCTTGCTGTTGCTTCATTGCAGTCACCAATGACATGTTCAGTTGCCCGAAGGACCTGGAAATACAAGGTTAACCTTTTGGAACAACAACTAAACATGGACCAAATCAGGAAAATCAAAAGGTCAAAAGGTCAAAACTGGCTTTGAACAACTGAGCATGTCCACACCTGACTCTGGCCCAAGCAAGGCTTATGCCCTGTCTCTGTCAGCCGAGCTTCAAACAATTGTTGAGCGGAGTCCTGTGCGCAAGCCATTGACCCCGGATTGATCGACCTGTTTTTGTCCTTTCGGAAAACTGACAGAATCCCTCTTAAATGGAACACCTTCCTCAGTTTCAACTAAGGGTGCGTGGGTCTGCCCCCGCCAGGCCGAGTGACTCTCCATGGCAGATCTGTAGGCGCCCCGGGCGTCAGGCATGGCAGGTCGTTGAAAAACAGGCCTCGGTGGGGGGGGGGGGTTTGGGGCGTAGAACTTCAACTAAAAACAACATGGGCACTATCTGGCCTTGTTTGCAGGTCTCAGATCTCTCTCTCTCTCTCTCTTTCTCTCTCTTCCTCTCTTTGCCGTTGCGTCCAGAGGGTCTTGAGTCAGCAAGGCAACAATTTGAGGTTAGTTAATGTTGTTTGGCAGGTGTGCATTCAGGCTTCCTTCAAAGGGTGTGGGGTGTGGGTCATGCCCTTGAGGACCCTCGGGCTCAAACAAATTCAGATTGCGATTTCTCCTCAAAATGAATGACCCCTTGCCCAATGGCTGGTAGGTCGTCGCTCGCTTCTTTGGGCGATTCATTCCCATTCCAGCTAGTAGCAGGTAGATGGCTGTGGCAGTCTACGCAGTGGTTGGTTCGTGCTTTTCTTCTGACAAAACAATGGTAGAGGCCTCCCAATTTAGAAGCATACCCGAAAAAACGCGGGGGTTGCCAGGGCAAGCCGAAGGGAGACTCTCGCAGCCAGGGCTCAGCGGCTAGGGTCCTGCTGTCGCCGGCAGAAGGCCACGTAGTGCCTAAAGTTCCACCTCAAAGCAGCTCTGTGTTCCAGTTGAGGAGGCCAACTTGCCCAGCTTGCGGAACATTGCCCAACTCAAAAAGAGGTGGTGGTACCCTGAGCCACCGCAAGCGCACCAACCATCATGCACGCAACCGTGGGACTACGAAGTTGAATGGTTCCGGCCGGGCTTTATGATTTCAGGGTAGGCCTGCCGTTGGTCCGAAGAGCACTGGGCCGAGTCGCATGAAGCAGACCAGCGCCACAAGACGATGACTGCTCGAGAGGCCCAACTTTCCCTGACAGGGCTACACCTCTGAAAAACAAGAGATTCCCGTTGCCTGTGTAGTACACGTACGCATGGGTGTGTAAATGTGTGTGTGTGTGTGTGTGTGTGTGTGTGTGTGTGTGTGTGTGTGTGTGTGTGTGTGTGTGTGTGTGTGTGTGTGTGTGTGTGTGTGTGTGTGTGTGTGTGTGTGTGTGTGTGTGTGTGTGTGTGTGTGTGTGTGTGTGTGTGTGTGTGTGTGTGTGTGTGTGTGTGTGTGTGTGTGTGTGCGTGCGTGCGTGCGTGCGTGCGTGCGTGCGTGCGTGTGTGTGGTGTGTGTGTGTGTGTGTGTGTGTGTGTGTGTGTGTGTGTGTGTGTGTGTGTGTGTGTGTGTGTGTGTGTGTGTGTGTGTGTGTGTGTGTGTGTGTGTGTGTGTGTGTGTGTGTGTGTGTGTGTGTGTGTGTGTGTGTGTGTGTGTGTGTGTGTGTGTGTGTGTGTGTGTGTGTGTGTGTGTGTGTGTGTGTGTGTGTGTCTGTGTGCGTGCGTGCGTGCGTGCGTGCGTGTGTGTTGTGTGTGTGTGATTGTGGGTGCGTGCGTGCGTGTGTGCGTGGGCATGCACGTGCGCGTGTGCGTGTGCGTGTGCGTGCGTGTGGTGTGTGTCAGTGTGGTGTGTGTGGCGTGTCTCTGTGTGTGTGTTTGCGTGGTGTGTGGTGTGTGTGGTGCGTGATTGGTGTGTGTGTGTGTGGTGTGGTGTGTGTGTGGTCTGTGTGTGTGGTGTGTGTGGTGCGTGGCCTGTGTGTGTGTGTGTTTGTGTGTGGTGAGTGTGGTGTGTGGTCTGTGATGTGTGTGTGTGTGTGTGCGTGGTGTGTGTGTGGTGCGTGTTTGTGTGGTGCGTGTTTGGTGTGTGTGTGCGCGTGGTGTGTTGTGTGTGTGTGTGGTGTGTGTGTGTGGATTGTGGTGCGTGTGTGGCCTGTGTGTGTGTGTGGTGGATGTGGTGTGTGTGTGTGCGTGGTGTGTGTGGTGTCTGTGTGTGTGTGTGGTGTGTGATGTGTTTGCTGTGAGTGTGTGTGTGTGTGCGTGGTGTGCGTGGTGTGTGGGGTGTGTGTGTGTGGTGTGTGTGGTGTGTGTGGTGTGTGATGTGTTTGGTGTGAGTGTGTGTGTGTGTGGTGTGTGTGTGTGGGGTGTGTGCGTGTGTTGGCGGTTGCGGTTGTGTCTGTTTGTGCTTTTGGAGGGTATCCTTCTAGGATTGGTTGGAAGCGAAATCAGAAGCAAACCGCCCATTGTTAGGTTCCCCTATTTTGACACAAGCCCGAGGGCATCCGCTAAAAATGGAATATGATGCGTATGTTGCGCATCTCGTGTTGGTTTTTCCGTGGGCTGGTTGGCTTGAAACGCCGGCATTGCTGCGCCCGAAGGATGCACAACGCCAGCTGGCAAAACTGCCACGTATCTTCACTTGGGCAAACAGAAGTCCGTGCAATGCAAGAAGAACGTTCCGCGTTACAAAAAAAACCTTAGCCCTACTAAAAATCAATCTGCCCGTCTGGAAGGGCTTCTCTGACCCAAAAGGTTGAGGTGGTGCGCAGTGCACATTTGGTGTGCATGCAGGGGGCCCTGCCTCAAACAGGATCTCCCCCCCAACCCGCTTCTCCGAGAGATCAGGGTGCCCGGTGTTTGCTCATTCCAAACAGTTTTCAAACAACAAAAAGAAAAGCTTCTCAAAGCAACAAGCGCGAGGCGTTTTTGACTAATTTGGGTAATGGTTCTGCGCGTGCAAAGCCTTGACATCAAGCGGTCAAGCTGCTCCAGAACATCTAGCAAGGATAAACGCGCGCCTTGTCGACCAGAACTGACAGCAGGTACCAGCACGATTTTTAGCTGTCTGTTGGGCGTGGTCGGGCTTAGCCTTGCGCTTTGACAAGCCAGCTTCTCAACCATCCGAACACAGCTTCCAAGTCAGGCTCAAATTCGAGCGTTTGGTGGCAATTCGGGTGCTTTGGGACATCTTCTGCCTAAAAAGCTCTGAAATGCGCACATGAATACTTCTCATGTTTGAGCGCAATTGCGGACATTTGTTTTTGCAACCCGCTTGGCTGGTGCCTACGATGAATGCACGGATCAGCTGTTTCCTCCAGGACTGTGCCTTCACCGCTCTTTTTGTTGAGACATGCCGCTGTCAGGTGAAACTTTGACAATTTTCAGCATCCTGCCGCCGCAATTTGCACACACATTTCCCAAGGGTCGCAAAGTGTCAAGTCCAGCTGATAGGCTCTACTTGCGTCGGGTGCCATGCACAAGGCACCTGCCGGGGCCAGGCCCGTGTTGAGATTTCAACAAACGGCTGCGCCGGCACGTGGGAGACGCTTCGTTGCTTTCGGGCAGTTCAGACTGGCGGCCGGACGCTGATACGTACACGTGCGTACAGTACATGTTCATGACCCCGACC